GAGATCTTCTCTCAGAGGGATTCTACCTCAAGGTCACCTCCCTGTGCCTCTAACACTCGATTCACAAGTGTGGGTTGCGCAACTACTGAAAACATGGCCTCAGCCTCTACGGATTCGCACAGAAGCAAATCAAACTCGCCAAGTGCACCCAATATCTTCCACTCCCGGATGGCTATACAGCTACATCACTAATGGCTTTCCTACTAAGGGCATCGGCCACAACATTGGCCTTTCCTGGGTGATAGTGCAACTCGAAGTCATAGTCCTCAATGAACTCCATCCACCTCATCTGCTTCAAATTCAAGTCTCTCTGTGTAAACAGGTACTTCAAACTCTTATGATCCGAGAATACCTCGAATCTTTTACCATAAAGGTAGTGCCTCCAAATCTTCAAGGCAAAAATTACTGCTGCTAGTTCTAGGTCGTGAGTAGGGTAATTCCTCTCGTAAATCTTCAACTGACGTGAGCCATAGGCCACCACTTTCCCTTCTTGCATCAACACACAACCCAAACCCTCTTGTGAGGCATCACAATAAACTGCATAACCCAAACCTCTCTCCGGAATAATTAACACCGGAGCAGTGGTCAATCTAACTTTCAACTCTTGGAACGACTTTTCACAAGTCTCACTCCATACAAATTTGACCACTTTCTGCGTCAATCTAGTCAACGGCGAAGCTAGTCTAGAGAAATCTTTCACAAACCGGTGGTAATACCCCGCTAATCCCAAAAAATTGCGGATCTCAAAAATGCTCTTAGGCTGTGCCCAATCTTGCACTGCCTCAATCTTGGATGTATCAACAGACACTCCTTCCCTGGAAACCACATGGCCTAAGAACTTGACCTTTCCTAGGCAGAACTCACACTTCCCAAACTTGGCATACAGCCTATGGGCTCTAAGCAACTCGAGCACCACTCTCAAGTGTTCCTCGTGCTCCTCCTTAGAAGGTGAATAAATTAGAATGTCATCCATGAAAACGACTACAAAACGGTCTAAGAATTCCCGAAATATCCGGTTCATCAAATCCATAAACACTGTCGGTGCATTGGTGAGCCTAAAAGGCATCACCAGAAACTCATAGTGGCCATACCGCGTACGAAATGCCGTCTTCGGAATATCCTCCTCCCTGACCCTCAACTGGTGGTAATCCGATCTCAGATCTATCTTCGAGAAACAACGGGACCCCTTCAACTGGTTAAACAGATCATCTATACGGGACATAGGGTATTTATTCTTAACCGTAGCCCGATTCAATTTCTAATAATCGATACAAAGTCTCAAGGCACCATCTTGCTTTTTAGCAAAGAGGCCGGTGCTCCCCACGGCGAAACACTAGGGCGAATGAAGCCCTTATCCAGCAACTCTTGGAGTTGAATCTTCAACTCACTCAACTCGGCTGGGGCAAAACGGTAAGGTACCATGGAAATCGGCGCCGTGTCAGGTGCTAAGTCAATAGAGAATTCGATCTCTCAATGTGTTGGCAAACGATAATGCTGTTTTGGTTGTGTGTTGTCCTACCAACCCGTGTGTTGATGTGTGGATGCTAGAGGATCGTTGTAGCGGAGAGAGCAATTGGTGTAAAAAAATTGTGATTGGACCCGTTTTGGGTGTTGAACGATTTTGGTTGTTGCAATGCACAAAGAATGGTGAGATTATAGCAGAAGATGCATGGGGAAGGATATTCTTGTACAACCCCCAAAGTGGAGTGACTAAGTATATTCCAATTGATGGAGTTCAGTTCAAAGCTTTTCACTATGTAGAGAGTTTGGCTTCGATCAAAGGATTCAAACGACAAGAACTAAACAATCAGCACTAATGTTTTGCAAAGGTCAATTCGTCACTTGATCAGATAAATAACTCGAGCATTTGCTTATGCTACTTACTGCAATGCATTTGGTTTTTGAGCTTTTCGTAGCATATGAATGGATAGCTTAGACAAAATGGATAGTTAATATTCCTTTAATTCTTCTGATTGGATAGCTTAGACAATATGGATAGTTAATATTAGCTAATTCCTCTGATTTGAGTTTCAATCCTCTTTCATTTGCTTATACTTTCCTTCAAAACAAGTGTTCAAGTCCTTTCTTTCAAATTTGGGTATTAGTACAGAATTTTATCCCAGTTACGGGATGGAATGGAAATAATTGAAGCTTTGTCTATGTAGTTTGTAGGTTGCTTTGCAATGCTTTCTATGCTTCTACTTAAAAGGATCTAATATTTCCTTCCTCTCATGCTATGTTTGGTTGAAGGATTTGGAAAGGAATTTGGAAAGAGAAAGGAAAAAGGCGCATGAACGTATGTGAAATATAAGTATATTTTATTCATATTTCAACTACCTTTTCTCTTTCACTTTCCAAATCTCTTCTTAAATTCCCCAACCAAACACAGCGTCAATGAATTGGCACAATTCATGATATGTCCGCCTTATTTTTTTAGATGTTATTTCAATTAACATGGTTTTTTTTTTTTAATCTTTTATTTTTGTATCGATTTATTATTGGATAATTGTTACGGGATTTACTAGTCCTGTTGAAACTTTTTCCCTAGATGTGGGGTGAGGTCTCTTGATGAGAAGAGAAAAGTGAAAAACCAAGTTAGAGGAGCAATATGTGTTGGATGAATGGATTCTTAAAAACTGTTACTGCTTTCTCTTTGTTTTTGTATATGTTAAGACCATTCATTCTTGGCCCACAGATGTTCTGTAAAGGTCAATTCGTCACTTGAATCAGATGAATTTTTGTCCAACTTGAGCATTTGATTTCTTTATGTTACTGCAATGCATTTGTGTGTGATGTTAGGATTTACTACATGTTTTAGATACTATAATTTTCGTTGACACCCCTTTGCTAAGATAATTCCTTCATTCACTGGATTGCTGCCTAGTTTCTTTTGCTATGGTCATACTGAATTGATTAAACTTCCCAATGCTCTGATTGGTTTATGGAATGCTATTGTGCTTTAAGCTATGTTTGGATCATGGATTTTGTTAACGATTTTGATAGGGAAAAGAAAAAGTGAGAAAACGTTAATGAAATATAAGCTAAATTTTTTCTCCATTTCTCTTACATTTTCCTTTCCCTTTCCAAATCTCTACTCAAATCATTGATCCAAACAGTCTTAGAGTGTACATAGTATTAGAAACTAATTTTTCTTGCTTTTGGTAGCATATGAATGATGTATAATTGTATTTGGTTTTCAATTTAACTAATTTCTACTCTACCATTGATTATGGTTTTGTTCTCTCTCTCTCTCTCTCTCTCTCTCTCCCTCTCTCTCTCTCTCTCTCACTCTCTATTTATTTATGAACATCTGTGTTCAATTGCGTTATGATGTAGTATTATTTGGGCTGGTTTCAGCAATGTGGGTCCTGTGATTGATGTCCAAACATTCCCCACCCTTAAAACATACCCTGCATTACAATTTTCAATTTATTTTAATATTATTTTTTAATTCTTATTTTTGTAGTGTAATGTTGTAGATTTTACTAAAGAAAGTTTTGAATGCCGCTATGCATTAGAGAAAACAACAGAGAAGTGTTGGCAGCAACCAATAGAACTATAAAGATGCCTTGTTATTTCATAAAAAAAAGAAAAAGAAAAGAAAAAAAGTCCTAGATAATATTTGTGTATATATATATAAACAAAAATTAATATTAAAACTAAAAGGTTCCATGTTAACAACATTATTTTAAACCTCATATTTTTGGAATTTAATTTTTTTTTAAACCATTAATATCGTTCAGCTTTCTTCTTGACTTGATTGAGCTTCAAATTTCAAAAGCATTTCTTTTCATCAACAAATTTCATATTACAACATTACATTTTTATGTCTAGCATGAGATTCTCCTAACCTGGTGTTACTCATCTCTAGCTTGACCTATACCATGGGGAGATGTTATTGGAATTATGGCTCATTTGCCTTTATCTGCAGGTGACGTGACTCCTGATGTCCATTTTCAAAAGGATTTGGGACTGGATAGCTTTGACAATGTGGAGATTGTATTGGCCCTAGAAGAGGAGTTTGAGCTAGAGATTCCAAATAAAGAAACTAATAAAATTGACTTCTGTTTTCTTACAATTGAGGAAATCTATAACCATCCAATGGCTAGTTAATATTAGTAAATTCCACTGATTTGAGTTCCAATCTTGTCTCATTTGTTTATACTATACTTCAAATACAATTGTTCTAGTACTTTCTTTCTTTGATTTAGGTGTTTGTACAGAATTTTATCCCAGTTAAGGGATGTAATGGAGATAATTGGAGTTTTGTTTGTGTAGTTTGTAGGCTGCTTTGCTATGCTTCTGCTTAACAATATCTAATATTTCCTTCCTTTCATTGAATTGGCACAATTCCTGATGTGCTTGCTTTGTTTTTGGAGATGTTATTTATGTTCAGATAGGTTTTTTAATCGTTGTATTTTTTGTTGCATTGATTTATTTTTGGGTAATTGTAGTGGGATCTAGTCCTGTTGGACCTTTGCCCTAGATGTAGGGTGACATCATTGTGTGGTTAGGTCTCTTGATGAGAAGAGAATAGTGCGAAACTAAGAGGCGCAATATGTGTTCAACAAATGGATTCTTAAAAATTGCTACTACATTGTATATGTTAAGACCATTCATTCTTGACCCACAGTAACTATCTATTCAAATATGCAAAATTGTTTTAACGTAGAATTCATCTATTATATTCTGAAGAATGAGATAATTTGGGGTTGTTGCCCCCACACGTCCAGGATTTGTTGAAATTTGACATGTTTGAGACTCTATCCATGTATAATGTTAGTTTTGCTACATTTTGTTACGTCTCTAGATGATTATGCTTCTACTCAACAAGATCTAATATTTATTCTCTCTTAATGAATTGGCATGATAGTTTGTTGTGTCTGCTTTTGTTTTTGGGAGATGTTATTTTCATTTACATGGTTTTTGTAAAGAAGTTAGTCCAAGACTATAGGTTTAAGATAGCCGCATGAAATGTAGAAACTTTAACTAGTAAGACGATGGAATTGGTAGATATCATGATTAGGAGGAGGGTTAGTATAGCTTGCGTACAAGAAACTAAGTGGATGGGTGAGAAAGTTAGGGAAATAGAGAATACTGATTTTAAACTATATTATAGTGGCAAGGATAAACAAATGAATAGGGTAGGAATAATAGTTGCCAAGGATCTTGTAGAAAATATAGTTGTGGTCATTAGGAAAGGTGATAGGATTATATTAGTTAAACTAGTTGTTGGAGAGAATATAGTGAACGTTATTAGTGCATATGTTCCCCAAGAAGGATTAGAGATGATCAGACTAAGAGATTTTTGGGACCAAATAGATGATGTATTACAGGAGATACCCGTATTATAGGTGGAGATTTCAACGACAGGAATAGATAAATTACATTATGAAAGGATGCATGGTGGGTATGTTTTTGGGGATAAAAATGATGCTTGAGAGAGTATTTTAGATTTTGTATTGGCTTCTAACCTGGTGGTGGCCAATAATATGTATAAAAAGAAAAATGAGCATTGATAACTTTTAATAGTGGGTGAATTAGGAGCCAACTAGATTACTTTCTAGTAAAAAAAGTGGATCGTCTAAAATGCAGCGACTGTAAAGTGATACTTGGAGAGAGCCTGACGTCTCAATATTGGATTTTGGTGCTAGATTTATGCTATAAAGGGCAACACAAAGCGAGAAAAGATAACGGGCGTCGCAGGACGAGATGGTGAAACCCTGAAAAGGGATAAACTAAAAATATTTAAGAATAGAATGGATGAAGAAGGTGCTTGGGACTTGGAAAATGATGCAAGCACTATGTAGAACTCGATAACCAATTGTATGAGAAGAATCTCAAAGGAAGTTGTAGACACCCCATTTTTGACCGACCTTAAGACTCAGACGTCATCGATTGAGCACTTGGTGATTACGCATGTTGTGCTCGTTCTGAGGTTTTGGAGTTTCGGCTGAGGTCCTTACCCCCAGACCTCGGGACCCTTTTATGCTTTGCCTCGGTTTGCGGACCAGGTCTTGCTTTCTCTTCCCGGAGGGAGGGAGAGGTCTTGTAGACCATCTCTCAGTGGCCGTAGGCTACTTTTCATGGTCGCAGGACACTGTTCCCGTTTGGAGACCAGTTTCTGGTTTTCAGAGCCGTCGGTCGCCCGCCTCGGTTCGGGACCGCTTAACATTCTTCGTTTGGCACGGTTTTTGGCACACACCTTGTTTCCTTGTCTAGAGGGACACTGGGGCCCGGGAGACCACCTTTGTGGTCGCACGTCACTTTTGGTGCTTAACAGCCTGTTTTCGGGGGCACCCGGCCGCGCGTTTTGCCCCCCGAACCCTCGTTTTGCAACGGTGTTGGTTCATTTTTGGCATGAACCTTGTTTTCATTGTATGGAAGGTGGTACAAGGGTAAGAGACAACCTTTTCTCTTGGAGACCACTTCTCTCTCCGTCAGCCTATTTTCTTGTTGGGAAACTGGTCTCCTTGATTTTTGAGCCACATTTGCTGGTCTCCCACCATACCACTAGCTTGCATTCAGTTGGGAGACCATCAAATGGGCTAGCCGACAACTTTTCCTTGAGGGAGACCACTCACCCTGGTCACCTGACCAGGGAAAGTGGTCGGCCGACCACCTTAACTGGTTGGCCTGCTCCCTCCAGTTTTGTCTCTGTGAGTTATTGCCAACTGTGCCAGCTGGAAGGCACAGACTGCATCCTCTATACACGTGTATAGAGGATCTTTGGCCTTGGTTTTTAGCTTCTTTGAGAAGCTTTGGCCTCCTTTGTCTATAAAGGAAGGCCTCCCCCTCCTTTGTGAGGGTTCAGATTTTGGTTAACGCACATACACATATCTCTCTCTTTGTCTCTATATTTAGGCTTAGGAAGTGTATTGTTCTTAACCATTTTGCACCACACCTCATAGCCTAACACTTCCACTGTCAACCCAAGGTTCTTGGAGGTCATTTTCAGAGGTCAAGAAGGTGGGTTTTTGGTCCTGAAGTTGTTGTCTTTGTTGAGCTTCAAGGGTAACTCATTTTCTCCCTTTTTAAGCATTATTTTGATCCTTCTCTTAGCCTCATTTGCATTAAGCATTATTCATGTTTGTTTAAGGCCATTTTCCTGTTGGAGGTCATCTACCCTCTTGCATGCTTCATTTAGTCTTGTTTTGAGCCATGCTTTAAGGCCTTTGTGTTGACCTTTGCTTGTTCTTTTAGCCACTGAAATCCAGTGGATTTTCAGTGGTTGGCATGCTATTTTGAGGGCCAAAATCAGAGAGGGGTGACCCTCTCTCGTTTGCCCTTGTTTGTTTGCATATTTGGCCTTTCCAAGGAGCCTATATTTTCATACTTCCTAGCCTTGGTTCAGGCCATTTTTAGTGACTTTTAGGACCTGCCTAGACTCTGTCTTAGGCTGGTTTGGTCACCTCGTGTTTGCCTCTTGCATGTGTAGAATAATCCTCTTCATAGCTTATCAAAGAAGCATGTCATTCTTGCATGTATTGGTCATGTTTCAGTGGGTTTTTGGTCATTCTTTAGCATATCATAGCTTTGTCTTTGGCTGGTTTAGTGGCCTCTTGAATGCTTCACATGCTTGTAGTGTAAACCATGCTCACTAGCTTACATTGCATGTTGTTTTGGCCATTGATTCTAGCATATTTTGGCCATACTTCAAACTGATTTCTTACATATTTTGGGCTGCCTTAGCTCTTTTTTTAGGCCTCTTGGTCAAATGATGCTTTTCGTGCATACTTGTAGTGTAATATTCTTTCCTAGCCTTGAGTTTTGGAGCCCCTTGCATCCTTAACTTGAGGTGTTTCCATGTCTTGGCATCATTGAGCATTTTATTTCAGAGCCTATACTTGTGCCATGTTCCCATGTTTTCCACTCTTTAAATGCGTTTGAAAGTTGTGCTTGTATACCTCATTTACGGGCCATTGCATGAGCTTCATTTTTGTGCATTTCAAGCCATCATCTTAGTCCATTTTGCCACTGTTTTGGGCCTGCATAGGGACTGTTTGGGGTTGGTTTGTTCATTTGGGCATTGCTTTGCATACTGTCGACACCCCATTTTTGACCGACCTTAAGACTCAGACATCATCGACCGAGCGCTCGGTGATTGCGCATGTTGTGCTCATTCTGAGGTTTCAGAGTTTCGGCTGAGGTCCTTACTCCCGGACCTCGGGACCCTTTTATACTTTGCCTCGGTTTGCAGACCAGGTCTTGCTTTCTCTTCCTGGAGGGAGGGAGAGGTCTTGCAGACCATCTCTCAATGGCCGTAGGCCACTTTTCGTGGTCACAGGCCACTATTCTCGTTTAGAGACCATTTTTCAGAGCCGTCAGTCGCGCGCCTCGGTTCGGGACCGCTTAACATTCTCCATTTGGCACAATTATTGGCAGACACCTTGTTTTCTCTGTCTAGAGGGACACTGCGGCCCGGGAGACCACCTTTGTGGTTGCACGCCACTTTTGGTGCTTAACAGCCTGTTTTCGGGGCACCCGGCCGCGCGTTTTGGCCCCTAAACCCTTGTTTTGCGTCGGTGTTGGTTCATTTTTGGCATGAACCTTGTTTTCATTATTTGAAAGGTGCTATAAGGGTGGGAGACCACTTTTTCTCTTGGAGACCACTTCTCTCTCCGCCAGCCGATTTTCTTGTGGGGAAACTGGTCTCCTTGATTTTTGAGCCATATTTGCTAGTCTCCCACCGTACCACTAACTTGCATTCAGCTGGGAGACCATCAAATGGGCTGGCCGACCACTTTTCCTTGAGGGAGACCACTCACCCTGGTCGGCCGACCAGGGAAAGTGGTCGGCCGACCACCTTAGTTGGTCGGCCTGCTCCCTCTAGTTTTGTCTCTGTGAGTTCTTGCCAACTGTGCCAGCTGGAAGGCACAGACTGCATCCTCCATACACGTGTATATAGGATCTTTGGCCTTGGTTTTTAGCTTCTTTGAGAAGCTTTGGCCTCCTTTGTTTATAAAGGAAGGCCTCCCCCTCCTTTATGAGGGTTCAGATTTTGGTTAAGGCACATACACATATCTCTCTCTCTTTGTCTCTATATTTAGGCTTAGGAAGTGTATTGTTCTTGACCCTTTTGCACCACACCTCATAGCCTAACACTTCCACTGTCAACCCAAGGTTCTTGGAGGTCATTTTCAGAGGTTAAGGATCTGGGTTTTTGGTCCAGAAGTTGCTGTCTTTGTTGAGCTTCAAGGGTAACTCATTTTCTCCCTTTTTAAGCATTATTTTGATCCTTCTCTTAGCCTCATTTGCATGCTTATTTGAGGTTTGTTGTCAACTGAAAAAAGATTTATTTTTAAGCATTATTCATGTTTGTTTAAGGCCATTTTCCTGTTGGAGGTCATCTACCCTCTTGCATGCTTCATTTAGTCTTGTTTTGAGCCATGCCTTAAGGCCTTTGTGTTGGCCTTTGTGTTGACCTTTCCTTGACCTTTTAGCCACTGAAATCCAGTGGATTTTTAGTGGTTGGCATGTTGTTTTGAGGGCCAAAATCAGAGAGGGGTGACCCTCTCTCTTTTGCCCTTGTTTGTTTGCATATTTGGCCTTTCCAAGGAGCCTATATTTTCATACTTCCTAGCCTTGGTTCAGGCCTTTTTTAGTGACTTTTAGGACCTACCTAGACTCTGTCTAGGGCTGGTTTGGTTACCTCATGTTTGCCTCTTGCATGTGTAGAATAATTCTCTTCATAGCTTATCAAAGGAGCATGTCATTCTTGCATGTATTGGTCATGTTTCAGTGGGTTTTTGGTCATTCTTTAGCATGTCATAGCTTTTTCTTTGGCTGGTTTAGTGGCCTCTTGAATGCTTCACATGCTTGTAGTGTAAACCATGCTCACTAGCTTACATTGCATGTTGTTTTGGCCATTGATTCTAGCATATTTTGGCCATACTTCAAACTGATTTTGTCCATATTTTGGGCTTCCTTAGCTCTTTTTTTAGGCCTCTTGGTCGAATGATGCTTGCCATGCATACTTGTAGTGTAATATCCTTGCCTAGCCTTGAGTTTTGGAGCACCTTGCATCCTTAACTTGAGGTGTTTCCATGTCTTGGCATCATTGAGAATGTTATTTAAGAGCCTATACTTGTGCCATGTTCCCATGTTTTTCACTCTTTAAATGCGTTTGAGAGTTGTGCTTGTATACCTCATTTATGGGCCATTGCATGAGGTTCATTTTTGTGCATTTCAAGCCATCATCTTAGTCTATTTTGCCACTATTTTGGGCCGGCATAGGGACTGTTTGGGGTTGGTTTATTCATTTGGGCATTGCTTTGCATACCTCTAGTGTAATGCATTTCACTAGTTTCGGTATTTGAGTCATTCAACATGCATAACATGAGTTGTTTGCATGATTCGGGACCATTTTGTATGTCATTTCAGAGCTGGAACATGTGTTCTTGTATGCTATATTTCATTCTTTCCATGCTTTCATACAGTTGTATCTTGTGCCCTAGGCTTTGGGCCCTAGCATCTTGCATGTTTGCACGTGTTTTGTTGCTTCATTTTCATCATGTATGGCCACTGGTTTGGGTGTGGCTGAGGCCCATTCATTTTGGTTTAAGTCAATTTTGCATCGAGTATGCCATTGTAGTTCATAGCATTGAGTATGCCGCGTTGTCACATGTTTGATCATTGCATTGCGCATGCCTTGTTCACTTCATTGTGTATGATAGTCTTCAGATGTGCATTGTGTATGACATATAGTATCATGTGCATTGAGTATGCCATTGTTAGTTTGTAGCATTACGTAGGCTAGTTTGCATGTTTGCACGTCATCCTTTGCATGTTTGCATGACTTGGTTGCATC